CACCCGCCCCTCGGCCTCAGTCTCCCCTCTGTGGATGGGGTGGCGCTGCGCCCGGCAGGGCAGGTGGTTCCTGACACCCTCCGCCCACAGGACAGAACGATGCTGCTGGCAGACCTGGAGTGCAGGAGAGGCGACACCGTGGTGAGTGCCCCCTCCCGGGCCGGCGCCCATGTCCGCCCCTCCCCTGGGACATCAGAGCGCTCCCAGCTCGGGCCTCTCCAGGGACCTCACCCAGTGGCCTGTTGTCACGCGTCACCTGTGCTGGCAACGCCCACGCGTCCTCCAGCCAGACTGTCCCTGAGCTGCAGACCCGCAAACCCCACCACCGAGAGCGCACCCGCCCCCCACAGCTCCTGACCCTTCAGTGGGGAACCGCAAACACGCAGACACAGTGGGGACGGCCAGGGAGCCCCGCGCCCCGCGCATCTCACAGCGCCCACCTGTGCAGAGCTCAGGGTGTCTCCTCTAAAACGTAAGGGCGCCTCTTGGCATAACACCCGCAAGGGCCGGCGCTCAGCACAGGGGCCGAGACGCTCGCTGCCCTGGTCACAGGGCGTCCCTAGGCCCCAGGCTCCTGATGCAGCCCCTTCTAGCGCCCGGCTCCCCTCCCCGTGCCCGGCTCCCCGCACGCGCGCTCTCTCTCTGATTCACAACGGGAGGAACTGTCCTGCCTTGTCTTTGTGGGATTTGGCTGGTTGCGCCCCCCCGCCCCCCGTTATTTCTCCCCAGGGCACTGGCACCGACAGTGTTTCACAAGTTGGGGGGGGGGGTCTGGGCCCTGCGGAGCAGAGCTGTCCTGTGACGTCTCCGCGCCCCGAGAGCAGGGCCACCTGCACGCGGGGGAAGAGGGGGCGCTGACCGCCGCCTGTCCACCAGGTGAGCCAGCTGAAGGTGTTTGTGACCGTGCTGGACGTCAACGACAACCCTCCCGTGTTCCCCTTCGAGGTCAAAACGAAGAAGGTGCCCGAGGTGAGTGCGAGGCGGGGAGGGGGCTCGTGGGGGCCTTGGCCTGGGGATGGGTCCCCGGGGGTCACAGGCGTGGCCAGACCAACCCCTCTCTGTCCCCCAGGACACGAAAGTGAACACCATCGTCATCCCCCAAGAGGAGCTGGCGGCCACGGACCTTGACAAAAGTGACATCTTGT